AGCAGAAGAATCGCAGGACTCCACAGGAGTTGGAATTTTAGGGGCGCGCTTGAGAGAATTCAGAGAGATGACGACAGCAATGAGCCGTCTCACTATTTTATTTTAGGGCTTCAAACCCCATAGATGCCAATGGGACTGTAGGGCAGGCAATAGTTCTCAAACGCTGCTGTAAGTCTGCTACAGGATCAGGACGTTTTGTTCTTAGGGACTCAAACACAAAAAATTAAATCATACTCACCGAGAGTACTCATTTTGCAAAGATTTCTCCATCAGTTGCTTTTCTGCATCAGAAAGCCACTTTGCTTCATACTCTGCTGTGGGAGAAAAGTAACACTTGCCTCAGAAACATGTACACATAAGCGTTACTAAGTACAAACCACTGTGTGCTGCCCTAGGACTTGCTGTATCTCACTGCTACATGGAGTCATGCAGGTGGGAAGGGACCTCTGGAGGTCACCAAGTCCAACTTCCCGCTCATAGCAGCTCCCAGTACAGCAGCGTGCTCTGGGCCTCGGCCTCTCTGAGCGACCTGTTACAGCATTTGACCACCCCCATGATAAAAACATGCACGTAAGTTGGAATTTCCCATCTTACAACTTGTGCTTGTTTCCGTTTGTCCTCTCACTGTGCACCTCTGAGAACAGTTCGTCTCCATCATCTCTATACCCTCTCACTAGGTAGTTGCAGATAGCAGTAAGGTCCCTCAAAACTGTCTCTTCTTAGGACTGAACAAACCCAGTTCTTGCAGCCTCTCCCCGTACATCACGTGCTGTAGCCCTCCAACCATCTTGGTTGCCCTCCATTGGACTTGCTTTGTTATGTCTATGTCTCTTGCAATGGGGAGCCTAAAACTGGACACAATAATCCAGATGTAGTCTCACAAATGCCAAAAAGAGGCATAATACCCTCCCTTTAGCTGCTGGCTACCCTTTTGCTAATGTAGCAAGAATGCAGTTGGCCTTCTTTGCCGCAAGAGCACATTGCTGACTCACGTTCAACTTGTCCATCAGGTCCCCCCCGGGTTTTCTTCTGCAAAGCCGCTTTCTGGCCTGTCAGCCCCCAGCCTGTACTTGCCAGGGCCTTGAGCAAACTCCACTCCCCCTTCTAGCCGTTCAGTTGGCTGAGTTAAGGAGTTTAGCTGACTGAGTTCAAGGTCAGTCCTTTTGCTGATAAGAGCTGTTTGTTGTGAGGAAAGCTAGAAGAAGCCTCCGCAAGCTCTTGCCTCTCCTTCCCTTGGGAGCTGCTTTTAACCTGAAGCTTTGGCACTTGGCCCCCACCTAAGCTACACTGCAGCTGTGTTACAGCTATGTTTGTGCCCGGTCTTGTACCTCCTCGCTGCTGGCCCAGATCCTGACCCTCTGACTTGATTTCCTGGCTTGACCTCAGACCTGTCTCTTCACAACAGACTTGCTAGGTGATCGCTAGAGCTAGGCAGAGCCTGATCACTGTTTCCAGACCTGATCCTGACTCCTCGTTGGTGAGGCCATTGCCCTGTCTGCCAGGCTGTCCCTCAGCTTCTGGCTTGCCTTCCCTTGTGGAGCAGCCTGCCCTTGCAGAGGGAGAGAAAAAAAAAATCAGGTACTTCAGCCTTTTCCATATTGTTTGTCACTAGGCCCCTGCTGCACAGAGCAGTCAGCCCACACTTTCCTTAGCCTTTCTTTTGCTGCCAACATATGTACAAGAAGCCTTTCCTGCTGCCCTTCGCATTTGTTGCTAGTTTCAACTGCAGTTCAGCTTTGACTTTTGCAACTCCATTCCTGAGCTCTCAGGCAGTGTCTCTGTATCCCTCCCCGGTAGTCTGGCACTGCTTCCCCCTCCTGTGTGCCTCTTTTGGGCACCTGAGCTCAGTCAGGAGAGCCCTGCCCACCCATGCTGGCCTTCTGCCACGCTTGCTCCACTTTCTGCACGTTGCAATAGACTGTTCTTCTGCTCTGAAGAGGCTGTCCTTGAAAAATCAGCCAGCCCTCCTAGGCCTATTTGCCCTCAAGGCCTGTCTCCCATGGGATCCTGCCAAGACAATGCCTGAATAAGCCAAAACCTGCTCTCCTGAAGTCCAGCTGTATGTCTTGCTCACTTCTTACAGGATTTTAAACTGCACAGTCTCATGGTCACTGCAGCGAAGGCTGCTCTGGACTTTCACATTTTTGACCAATTCTGCCTTGTTTGTGAGTAACAGGTCCATCTCCCCTTGTCAGTTCAATCACCTATATCAAAAATCGTCTTCAACATACTCCAGAAATCTCCTGGATTGCTTGTACACAGCTCGATTACCCTTCCAGCAAGTATCAGGGTGTTTGAAGTCCCCTAATAACTACCAGGGCCTATGATAAAGAGGTGCTCAAATAAAATAGAATTAAATAATAAGTCAACTTTGTGCACACATCACGTTTAGATTCTAAATACCCCTGCAAACACATTATGCAATACATAACACTCATCATGCACTCTATAGTGTCATCCAACAGCACAGAGCAGGAAACACTGTCACAATCAGTTGAAAGGGCAGTGCAGACTGAATCATGGAGCCTTCAAGGCAAGGGCTTGAGACATCAGCCCTCCTAGCAAGAAAGCATCACTCTGAGTCCCGGACTTGGTGTCAACCCTGATGAAGGGAGATCACTCCATCCTCATCACTATCACTTCTTGAAGCAGCTAATTCTTGGATATTTCTATCCAAATACTAGTATTAACAACCCATGAGACTGATATATTACAGTATAATCATCTGGAAATGATCATTTCTGAGGAGCAAATTTGTTATTTCTGTTATAATCTCCTATATATATATATATTTTTTTTTTCAGGGACCATTTACATGTTAGTATGTAATTGCACTAAAACAAATAGTCCAAGGGCATGTTCCTTCTGCTGCATTATCTCCTAGATTTCTTTGATGCCAGCTGTTGAACATGATGTTGTTTCCAGGATCTATGGCAAAGTGCTACTGATGCCCATTTCAAGAAGTGTTGTGAAAACTCTTATCATTCAGTTCTTCCCAGTTTGCTCATCTCATCTGGCATTGATTATTAACATTCAATTTATATATGTTAATCAGGGTTGGGCCTGTTCCACAGAGTACAAACAAGTTTGATTCAGTTAATCCAAAATTTGCCAAGTGAAAATATTTTGGATAGCTTAATAAATATTCCTGGTACCAGCATTTACACTTACCATTTTTGACATGTACAATAGTGAAACAGGATACTACAATCAATTTCAGTCATTTGTTCCATTTTTCCTATTAAATTACAAAATATTTTGCATTACGTTCTTTCTCAAATAGCATGCAGTAAGCTTGGCAAGCAGGAAGACACAGGGAATAGTGTTACAAAACAATATGCCATTTTTCTTTTTCACAGAACATATGTCAGCCACTAGCGGACTCAGAAGATCTAATCTATATGAGAGTTCCTCAAATGTGTTACGAAATACAGTTGGGATCTTGCAAAAGAAATTTTTTTCTTCAATCTATAAGTTTGGGATTGCAATTAGGTCTAATCCATCATTCACTACAGTTAATGAAAAAATTTAGATGAAAAATTCCTCCATCTGTTTTCCATAATAAAAATACAGGATATTTCCAGACACTAGTTAAGTGAATTAAATATGTTTTGAACAGAAGGACCTTTTGAATAAGCTTCTAGTTTAACCTGGAAACATGGTATACTGTGATTTGGCTGTGATATATCTTATTTTCGATTTTGTAATCCAAAGGAATACTAAAATTATGTACAGTACAGAGTGTTCTGATATCAATCTATCCACTCAGTTCATAGAAAAAAAAATGTTTTACAGCAGACACAATAAGATATGCTTGAAATAGTCTAACTGTAATGTCCATAAACTAATCCAAATGTTTAGGTGTTCCCTCTGTTGCTTTTGCAGGACTGCCTCTGTTATGTGTTACCAGTGAGAAACTTAATTTCTCATCATGTGGTCATCAACTTGTAACAGCAGTAACTGAGAGAAATAATTTGCTAAAGTAATAACATGTTATGTTTTATGATAAGATGATTTCTGACCTGCTCAGGAAGTCATCCAGCATTTTCAATAAATCTAGCCATTATCTTTTGGCAGAATATATCTTCTTTGATCTCATATACACACACACACACGTATAGTAGAAGAACACAGTCATACACTGTGAACATTTACACAGTAAGTGCACATATATCTAACTTGTTTTCTTTTGGACCCATTTAGAAACAAAATAAGAGAGCAACCTCCCTGCTGTCTTCAAACGAAGCATTTCCAGGCTTTCACTCCTTGCAGCAGCAGTATCAGTACAAACCACCTTTAACACATGCAACAGATCAGCGTCTCTCCAGTCCATCCGCTCTTTTCCAGTGCATGCGAAATCTTTGTAACTCAGAACAACCGCAGTTAGTAGCAGCGTTCTACTACTAACATACTCGTTTCCTGAACTGGTCCTAAAGTTACAGAACCATCCATACCAAAACCAAGCAAATTTACTAGGCGCAAGTAAGGGTTTTCAGACAATTCCCTCCCCTACTTCTTGGTGACTAGGCATACAGTTAGGCATCCAAGAATAAGCATTTGCAGGACCAGGCCATGGAAATATCTGCCAACAGAGAATCCTTTTCTTGACACTGTAAAAACAAGTCTACAGTCTCCTCACAGCTTGGTAGGAAGCTGTATTGAAAATGTTATGTCTTGCAGCTGTACTGCAAAAGCAAATAGACAGGATGCTAAAAAACTGGGACAAGCAGTAACTGACCTGCAGCTTGCTGGAGAACTTTCTCTGAGCTGCCTTGCTTCCTCTTCTGTTCATTTGTTGTCTTCCTTATTCAATACAGGGGATCTGACTCTGCAGAAGCATCATTGGCTAACATGGACTTAATGAAAATATAAAGGATCCTAAAGAATATGTACTAATGGTGGAAAATTTGTCTAAACTCTGACAAAAAAGTTGCACTTTCTTTTTCCTTATGAGCCAGCACGCTTTTATATAGTGAGAAACAACAGTACATACACAGAAGAAAAGTTATTCAATTCATTATAGTTAGTTTGCCTTAAAATAAGATGTTTTTCTCTGTCCTTGGCATTTCTTTAGGTTTTACTATCTATTCATTTGCATCTAGGGAATACTTACAATTTGTAAATTTTCTGTCTGTAACGTGGATAAATCACCCTTGAGAATGTTAATTAGCTCTTTACATTTCAAAGAGTATTTTTTAGGTGTTCATAAATTCAGTACTCATTTTTGGAAAAAGTTTATGTTACTAAACATTTTCTGCAATCTACATCCAAAGAAAGAATCTTGATCTTCTGCCTACATTCAGTTCAGCCTTATTTGTTCTGATGTTTCCCCAAATATTGTCAAAATCATTTTCCTCAGCATGTCCTTTTTTTTTCCTTCCAGATTCCTCCACTGGCAGGTTCGTTCTTTTTGCATGAAGTTCCTTGTGTTCAGTTTCCAGGGCTCTGCACAGTTCTGCTGCCACTTCTCAGCTCTCCCTCATGTGCTCCTGCAACCAGTTCTTCCTGTGTTGGACTAAGGCACAAACAATAAATAAAGCCTTAGGCACTGGGAGAAAGTTATGTTTTTCCCGTTAAAAAAATATCTTTCATTCAGCCCTAGCGTGTATATGAACAAATTTGAGCATAATTAATCTTGAAATATCTGGCTGAATATACAGCCTACCTGAATCAAGAGCAGCAGAGCCCTGCATCACTTAAGCAGTTTGTGTGAACCCATGCGGAGCCAGCAGAAGACTGATTCAGGGTGGCCAGGGCAGAGGACCAAGGGAGACCTGTGCATCTATCCAAACCGAATCACAGGGGCCTCTGCGGAGCGCGAGGGCAACTTCAGGGAGGAGGGAGGAGTATGACAGTGCTAAACCAGACAGGAGAGGGGAACACAAAGGTCTCTTTGTCAAGTTTCCAAGATACAGTTGCCTTCATCCTTTCTTGGTGTACATTATGCTTCTTCTGGCCTCCTAACGAAGCTTGCCAACAAACACCCTCCCACTTCATACCTCATGCACCCTTTCACTGCAGAGACCTTTGTGTCCTCAGTGTTTGTCCTGTATCAATTTTTACAGACTTGTCCTAGCAAGGGAATAACTTCACTCTAGGGAATACTGTTACAGAAAGCAGAGCTGCCTTTCCCAGTGAATCTGGGAAGATTTTACACTGGGACTTTAGACTGTAAGAATTAAGCTACGATCTTCTCCACGGGCAAGGCTTTGTGACCAGATTCTGTCAGCGGAGAATCACAGCCTAAGCTCATGTCAGGGATCACTACCCATTTGTTTTCCAAGTGTTAGTATTAAAAAAGAAAACAAACAAACAAAAACCCTAAGAGGTCAACTGGTAAGTCTGACAACTCCCAAATCAGCTGTTTTCAACAGAAATAAATGGAGCAATACAAACCTAAAAGTTATGTACAGTTTTGTTCTTTCTGTCTATTGCACCTTTAAGCACAGACAAGTGTTTCTCAGTGCATCAACAGGAAACTGTCATTTTGTGCTCATTCAGATGCGCTCGGTTACCAAATGAGTCACTGTGGTCTTTAGCTCTCTCCCAACAAGAGTTTATATTTGGGGTTTTTTTCATGGTTTCACTCTGCATATGTGAATTTTTTTTTAATCCATTTGTAAAGTTCATTGTAATGTTGATAATGTGTTTCAGTTTCTCAGAAAAGCCTCATGTTTTTTAAAATCTGCTTAAATCCAAAATAACAGACTGTGCTTGAAAGGCAGGGAATAGAAACGCTGAAGACGACAGATTTTGACCCAGATCATTAACATCAGTCTATCTTCACAAAAGTCAGGTGATTTATGCCAGCTGATGGTTTGGCTCTGCATTTTAAGCCTCCAAAAAGAAACTATAAAAACAATACTGACAGTGATCTGGAGATTTATTTAAAAAAAAAAAAAGCTTGAAATTATTATTTTAAGATTTCATTTGTGCATTTTTGTAAAACACCCAAATGTTTATTAATCAGGTCAAGGCATGTGTCTGTTCAGGAGCCATCAAAGTGTTGTTGAAGAATTTGGCAGAATTCTCAGATATATTCTAGTTTATAGCACTTATTGCCAGAACACTCTGTCATTTTCCAAGAAATGTGTATTTCTTGGACTCATTGTCCCAGCTGGTTTATTGATTTCATGGTTCTCCTTTCCAAATCACTGTTCCAGCTCATTGATGATTCTGTCCAGTGCTGGTTATACAAAATGTTGTTGAAAGTCATCTTTACTTTGAAAAGCCATGTGTTGACCAGTATTTTTAGTTGACAGATATACTCAGCCAAACTGACAATCTCCAAGTTTTCAACTTCTGTGTTTTTTTCCGCAGAAGGCAATGAGCTGTTTTCTGCAATAAACTCTTCTGTTTTGCCCATACTTATGGCCACAATCCATACTCTAAATCACTGTCTACATTATTTTAACATAAATCCCCTTCCAAATACCCTTCTAATTCAATGGCATATTGTAAATCAAATATACACTATTATAACTGCCTTGAGACTCTACTGGAGCTCTCCAAATATACTTTTTAAAGCACTGAGTTTATGGCAAACTTGAGAGTAAATTTACAGCATGATATATAAGGACTTAGTCACAGGATAAAATTCTGCATGCAGAGAAGCTTAATAGTTTGGTCTTCTCAAGCACACAGGTGGTGCACTTTAGTAACATATATACAGTTCCACTGCAGTCAATGGAATTATGCATATGCTTGCAGGTAAGTACATGCACAAGTATTTTCAGGACTATTTCCAATATTCCCATTTATCTAAATATCTACACATTAAAAATCTTACCTTTAGCAACTGGCTTGAATTTTTCTCTTCCAAAGTGCTTCATTTGCTTTTGAGGTGGCTGGCAGATTCCTGTGGCTGGCAAAACTCGCTAAAAAGAATCCTCTAGCTTAGCTCATCAAGAGATTTGCTTCAATTAGTCACACTAATTAAAACTATTTCTAAGCAGCAATCCTGGACAATAGTCAGACACAAAATGACCACAGGGACAAGTTTAGAGCCATCTCAGTTTGCTCTTACAGTTTATAGCAAGGAGGTACGTTACAGGTTTGCAGAGCTTTATTAAGCAAAATGGAACATGGGCACAGGCTATGCCACTGCCTTTCTTCTCACCAAGAAAAAAAGGACAACAAAATAAAAAACCTCAACATGATTTCCATCCCCCTGCCCTGCTGCTTGCTCCCCAGAAGCCTACTTTTGCCAGGCAGCCTTGGAGTTTCTTTCTCCGCTTCATATGTATGCCCGAGGCTGTAAACCCGTTCTACCCAGCTGATTAGAAAGGATATCGGGCTGACAGCCGCAAGGAAAAAGACTAGGAAACGCATGAATAATAGTACTCATGGTTTGATATAAATTAAGATTCATATTAGATTTGTTCTGACAGACTTTACCACTAAACAGCAGCTCTGCTTTAAACCTGGAACTGGTCTCTAGGTACACTTGAACAAACCAGGACTAACCCTAAAAACGGTAATGATGAACAAGCAGTGCACGCTTAGAACCCCAACTTTCTGATCATCTTGTCAGGAGTAATAAGCTCTGTAAGAGACAGGACATGCTGAAAATGCTAAAATATATATGTATATAGATCTTAAACTGGCTAGTAATTTTACAGCAGTTTTGCTGTACCATGACCCAAGGTAAAACGTCTCAATGTATTTGCCTTCCAAAGGAGACCCAAAGGCAGATTCTAGATCGCAGTTCATGTCGAGATCGTCTGATTTATTAAGCCCCTCATTTGCTAAATTCAGCAAGCTACAGAAACTAATCCCAACATGCTACCTTTATGAGAAAGCTAAATGTTATTCCCCATTTCCCAGGCAGAGAAGTAAAATCTGGAAGATTAAACAATTCATTGCATAGCACTAGGCAAGATATTAGCAGTTTCAGACCACGCCAACGCCGTTTCTGCCCTTGGTATTTCAGATCAGCGTCAAACACTATAATGAATGATTGCTTATATTATCTGGACAGCAGCTTCTTCCACGTTGGTAGAACTCAAGTAACAAACCATCTTTCTCAAGCCTCTTTGTTGTTTTCATAGGCCTTTCCACAAGGTCAATGTTATAAAATAGTTCAATAGCACTTACAGATCGCATAGATAGATCTATCCATTTTAGGCCAGCTCAGATCATACTACGAGATTAAGAGTGCTAGCTGGAGGACTGATCTAACTACTTCAGTCACACAGATAGCTTTTTGCACATGCACAACCAGTTTCCACTTAGCAAGACTACACATCTGACTTACCCACATGAGTATTTTAAGTCCTTGAATCTGGGCAATCAAACTTAACTTCTCAATTCATATAAAACTTAAATATCCAAGTTTATATAAAGTTTCTGAGTAGCTTAAAACAGACACCTGCCTTACTATCAGTTATATCAGGCCAGAAACTTGAGCAGAAAAATGAAGGAATACATGTTCTAACGTAGGAATGAGCACAGATATTATACAGCTATTCAAAACCTAGAGAAACACATCACCCTAACCTAAATCCAGGTATCTCTACAAGGAGAGGTGGCATTTAAGAGAAAAAGAAAATATTATAGGAAGGTAGTATTGTTTAACAATAGTAGTATTGTTTAACAATAATGTAACAAACTATAATAAAATAAGAAAGTATAGCATAGGTAAAAATAGAAAGCTTTGTTTAAACTAATGCATGGGAAGAGGTTCTAGCAAGCTCATCCTGATGATCTATTACTGAAATCCACTCTCTTTTCTTATTAGAAAGCTAAATACTACCAGGAATTTTATAATTAGCAATTTTACTTTCCTTATATGAACCAATGTTTTCTAAGTCATTTGTTCTAGTTATTCCTGAATGTGGCAGCTGACGGATTTCTTTATGAAATAATTATTGAACCAACAAGAAACAAGGCTATTTTAGACTGTATTTTAGAAACAATGTTATAGAAGAGTTTCACATGCAAAATTAATTTGAATTAAGCAATCAGAAGTTGATTCTAGGTAAGTTAAATAAAAAAAGAAACAAACGTTGGTCTGCAACTATGATTTTTATATCAAAAGGGCAAAGATATAAGAAAGGAAGGGAAACTGAAAGAAGTAAACCGGCCTGAAGTAGTCAAGGATATGAACATTAAAGAGCCCTCAGAATTTCCTTAAATGAAATGCTCCGATTCTATCTGGAACTCGTAAGTGGCAAAACTGTGGGGAAGGGATTTCAGAAGTAGCCAGATGATAACCATTTCCAAAAGCATTTTAGGATTAAGCACAGCAGCTAAGACAAACTTACAAAGCTGACATAGCAGTGAAAAAAGCAAATGTCTCCCACGAGGTGAGGTATTTCTAGTAGTAATAGGAAAGATTCATGCCACTGCACAAGGCATGGGTGAAAGGTTTTATCTATAATACTCTCTGCAGGCTGATCATCAAGAAAGAGAACAACTATTAAATCATCAGGCAAGTTTTTTTTATTATTTTTATTTTTTAAACAGGAGACAAGGTTAACCTGGTTCATCTAGTCTAGGAAAAAAGGCTGTGAAAGGAGTCGATTACTGTTTCCCAACTACCTTGGAAGAATTACTACTGAAAGTTACTAACCTAAGTTATAATGCAAGCAACACAAGCAAGTAGGTTAAGAAGAAGAAAAAAGTCTCATGTAAGCTGAGAGAAGAAATAAGAAAGCTTCTCATCAAAAAACCTTTGAAATAGCCTACTAATAGGGATTAGACCAAGCAAAAACTGAACGAGTTTTACAATCAATTATGAAAGGATAATGACAGTGTAGCTGCTTGGGACAGACAAGACATCAAAGAGCAGCTGAAAAGGTCCTTCCAGTCCTACATCCCAAGCTCCTCTCTTTATCCTATTGCTCTGCCATATTCTAAATACCCTAATAAGTAAATGCACTTTCTTGCACTTTACCAAACTGTACAGCCTTCAAGGGAAAACAATAACCAAGCTCTTGTACATGTTTCTCCCAGAGCCAGGGACTGGAGCCATGGCATTTGGATGAAAAGAACTTTATTCTTGCCCAGTTTTCTTCTGTGGAGCCAAAGTGTCTGATTCTGCTGGCATCCAGTTTCAGTTCTGATTTCAGTCCAGTGAACCTGGTAACTCTGAACTGCAGTCTTTTACACTGTAGGGTTTTTCATCGTCTTCTAGCCAAGTTTATCATCATCACCACTTCTCACAATCGACTAATGTCGCTGACTGTTTTAGATTTTGTTTTTCACTGTACTTTCTGGCCTTTTTATCCTGAAGTTCACTGAACTGGCATATAAACTGTTTTTCTCCTTTACTCCTTTCTTTCCCCAGTTGTACAAAACTACTCTAAAGAATCACGTCATCTGTTTCAGTCATCTTTGCTTTTGGCAAGAAACATTTCAATATCCATTTCCTGACCCTATTCCTAAACAATAATAAATAGAAAAATGTGAATGTAAATATGCCAGTATGAAGCCAACCTGCCAAATGACTCTCAGGTCCCCAGTGTCCTATATAATACCAATATAATCAAAATTTCAGATCCTGCAAAAGGTTTTAGCATTTGCATTGTCACTAAGGGCTTCATGAAGCCAAGACTTCAGTACCTTCGGGTTCTGTGGTGAGCCAGCCTATCAATTTAGTGTTTGGATTTTAAGCTTAAGAATTAGAAATAACGTTCATGTTTTTTAGATGGCACCAAACTGCAACACAGGCAAGTAAATGCACAATGGTCTTCTCCTGTGGATAAGTACTTCTTAGCCCACGGTCCAGCAGGAGAAGTTTTCAGGAACCTCAGAGTTTATGATTGAACTTACACTAAAAGTAGAAGGAAGTGCAGATTTCTACATCATTTAAGAACTGCATGCTCTTAATCTTTTTAAATTGTGATCTATTTTCTCTTTTAATAGGCTGTGGCCGAGAGAAAGCAGGTTTCAGTATGAGCTTCCTCATCAGTTAATGGGGAAAAGAAGCCACCTAGCATATACATTTTGCTATTTCTCCACCAGAAAACAGAAGTTTAAAATTTGCCCCAGCAAATTGCTATTAATTCACATAAACTCATGGCCACAACAGCCTGATGGCTCAAAGGACACCTGTCATTTTTATGCTGGAAGATCTGCACTGCAGTCAGCAATTTTTTCCAGTAACACTCCCTGAGAACATGAAAGGGCCTCTTTAACACCTGCATATATACGGCACCTGCATCTGTACTGCAGTGCAGTGTCCTTATGCACTGATTTGGTATGAAAGTCCCACCTTGTTTTGGAGAAAGAATGATTTTGATGAGTCCTGGGATATTCTTTTCCATTTAGGGTACAGGAAACTGAAACAAAGTTTTCAAAGTCTTTATGCTTCCCCATCTGGATCCACAGTCAGGAGAGAGCACAACACATCATGTCTTTGCTCACCATACCTACTGTATATTATGTTTTGTTAAATACGCCAGTTAGACAGTAGGAAGGAAGGTTGCTTGCTTGCCTTGTTCTGGCACCTGTATTTTGGGTCAGGCAACACCCTCCAGAGGGACAGGGAAGTTACGCCTTCCCTAGTAGTAAATCACAGGCTCATCTGGAATAAGCTTAAAAAAGAAGAAACAAAAACAAAAACCACTTTTTTTTCTTTTTTATTATTTTGCTGGGTTAGTTTTCTGCCAATTCAGTGGTCTGAACCAGCACACAGATTGTAAGAATTTCCAAAGCTGGCAGATGAGAAGAAGTAGGATCACATCTGGCAGTGAGCCCTTCTAGCATCTCCACCTCAGAGGTAGGGAAGGGTTTTCCAAAGGACCTTGAAGGGACTGTAATTTAGTTACTGAAAACTGCTGGCTTGAGGATAAGGGCACAGTGGCTGGTGATTTATTTACAAAAGATTTTAATTATAATCTGTCTGATCCAGCAGTTAAGCTGCCTCTGTTTAAAGAATATCTTATTTTACTTAGTGCTCTCATAACATAACCCTTTAGAAACCAAAAGTCTATTTGGTATGCTCACTTTAAGGAAAAGGTACAGCCATTGTCATTTCAGTGCTCTAATAGAGCTTTGCTCTCATAATGCATACACTGAATTAATTTCCAAAGCAGGATGTGTGGGCACAGGGAGAATATCTGCGTGCAAACAGGTAGGCATACACCAAGGAGAGGGATCAAAGAAAGAACCAGCCTCTTGCAGAGTTATGCAGAGTCACTTTAGCCACCACTGAGTGAGGGCATGGCTTTGTAGAAGCATAAGCCCCTCAATCAAGAAAAATGACTGCTTGCTCCAGATACCAGTGTTGCAGTACACGACTGGTGCTTGGTGGGAGGCACTAAGCAGACACTCTGGACCTCCTCCTTGCTGGGCTGGGCTCTGCACATGTATTCTCGACTCCCTGGCTTGCTGCTGCTGCTCGGTTGCCCATGCCCAAACCCATGTTGATTTTCTGTATATACTCAGGAAAATTAAAATCCATACTCACCTCTCCACTCTGCTGCACGCTAACTCCAGAACAGAATCAGAGCTGAAGCCAACAGAGCAGCAGCTTTGCTGGAAAGGGAGGTGGCTCCATCACCTCCATCTGGCAGGCCAGTTCCAAACATAGGCAACAGCAGCAGCATCTCCACTCATCTGTGCGGCTTCTCTTCAGAGAAAGCCTGAGGCTTCCCCCTTGTGGCAAGGGCCACGGACACAGAGGGTGTCAGCTCCCAGCACTTTCAGAAGCAGTGCAGCTCTAGGAGTTGCTTCCCAAACACCCAGCGTTTGGGGAAAAAAAGAAACGTTTCTCATCCTCTCGCTAATATCACTGTTAGATGAGGCCATCTTACAGTTCAGAGCAAGTATCTTCATTCTGGCCTTAGAGGTATGCGCACTTCCTTTGGCTTGACTTTACGTACACCGGGAACCAAACGCGTTAACGCAAGATGTTCGTAGCTTTGTTGTTCTGTACGCGCAAGACTACTTGTGCGGCGTTTCCAGACGAGTCTGTTGCGTCTAGATGAATCCACAGGAAAGGAACAGCGCCTGTCACAGCTACCAGAGGTGGATACAGCGTTCTTCCAGCGTGGACCCATGCCAGGTTCAGTTCAATCCCTCAAGTACAGGAGTAATCCACGCTTTCTAAATGAAGGAGGACAAGGTTAGGCGAAAACATAGCAAAGCAGAAAATAACTCTATTTCATGACAGGTTTTGAAGTTTCCCGTTAATTTTTTTCCACTGCAGAAATGTCGCAATCAGTTTCCCACATCCCAGATGACTGACCAAACAGCTCAGAATCACAGAGCTACCCTGAGGGCAGTTTCTGAATTGTCACTGGGTACTAGAGAGCTGTCATGTCAGGTGTTTTGTGACTTTGGATCTTTGGGTCCTGAATGCAATCGTTAGACTAACCTCCCACTTCTGTTTTACTGAGGTTATTGATAACCCAGGTTAGGTTGTGTTGAACGCTCGTTATAAGTGTGACGGGTCCTATTATAGGCGCATTTTAATCTGACAGTAAAATAAGTAGCTATTTTTCCAAAGTGGAAAATACTGTATCACTAAATTGCTAATTCTAACAGGGATTCCCGTATAAATACTTCAGACTTTTGATTAGGTTCTAACTCAATCTTCTTATCAGGGCCCTGAACGCACCAAACAGGCTTTGCAGCCTTTTCCCCTGCTCCTAGGCATTTGGCTGCCCCCGCTCAAGACAGCTCCGACATAATGCAGCTGTTCAACCGGGAATCAGACTTGTGTGAAAAAGAGCCACGAGAAACCCCCCCTGGAGAATAATCCCCTCCCTTCGCGTGGGAGCTGCTTTCAAGCTCAGGCCCTCAGCCTTGCTCCTTCCCAAGCCGTGCTGTAGGTGCGCCTGTACACAGCTGCTCCTGACCCCGCATCACTGACCTGACCTCAAAGCTGCCTCAACACTTGCCTGGCAATCATTGGACTGTGACCGACCCTGGCCGCGGTCACCAGTCTGCTCGCCGCACGCAGGCACTGCAGGACCGCGTGCTTGCCCGCGAGGCCACTGCCCTGCCGGCCTTGCTGCCGCCCGCAGCTCCCAGCTCGCCTCCCCTTGCAGAGCAGCCCACGCTTGCTGCTCCCTGCCTTTACCAGTTAGGAATCCCTCCTTAAGGATTTCTTTCTTCCATACATACAGTTCAGGGTCAAAGAAGTTTTTTTTTTTTTTTTTAAGTAAAAAACAACACTGTATCATGAGAACCTCTAACTTTTAAGATAAAGTTCAGTTTCCAAAATTCTAGCAGCCTGTCAAATATTAAAATTGTTTTTGAAGATTCACTGCCACTATTTTTTAATGGCACAATATTTAATAAAAATGCTTCTTCAAGGTTGTTGCTATGAAGTACTTAGATCACCTGCAGCTATAGGAATAAGCATCCAGTAATGTATAATGAATGCTGAGGCTGTACTTAGTTTTGCCCAGGGCTTGTTTTGCCTTAAAATGTTAGATTTCGTTTTGGAGTTACTTGTTTCAGTAACATTTGTTGTCGTTTTAAAGGGCTTAACAATAGTCCAGGGAGAATTCTAGCACTGGTGTTCTACATTTTTATACAGTAAATGCTAAACTTTTTTCCATAGTTTATCTTCAGCTTATCCAACATTAGTTGTAGCAGAAAGTTTCCATTGCTTATAGATTTATTGCTAGGACTACTGGTAGGCAGGAGAAAGGGAAGAGCCCTTCCAGTGAGACATGGAAGACATGAAAAGGTCCCCTGTCCATTCCTCATTGAGATGAGACACTAGGAGAAAGCAAGGAAACCAACAAACTGTAAAGTCTCTATGTTAAAGGAAGTAGAGCATTTGTATTTTTACAAATAGTGCTGAGAGCCAAAAGATATTGTATAAACTAAATCATTCCTGTGCAGTTTTGTGAATCATTCTGTAGCATTTATTAATCCCAGATGGCATGACAACATCACCTTTTACATGAATACTGGAGTCTGAACTCCATTTACTTCTCCTGACCAAACAGCCGCAGCCCTAAAATATCTGCCTAGAAGACAAAATCTCTCTCCCTCTCTCGAAGGGCAGCCTTTCCCTTTCTATCTTCCCAATTAAATTTAAATGTTTCAGAAGCTTTACTAAGTTTTTAGGTTCTAGGCCTGTTAAGCAGATTTTAATCAAGCTTTTAGATATTTGACGATACTATTGTCATTTTGCAGATGGAGAATGAAAGCACGGACTTTGCATGTAGGGTTTTGTATTCCAAGGTATTTAGCTGCCCACGCATACAGATACGTGCTCAGCACTTCTAGAAAGCACATTATAAACAGAGGTGCAGGTACTTCTGAAAATCCCACCAAGAAAATCCCATTTCCTTGATCATCATCTCTGTGAGAAGATCACCTAGGCTAAGTTTGTCACAGCAGCAGAAATTACCCTACCTTTGATCATTCTTGGGATAAGTCTCTCATTCAGCTCCAGTTAAGTAGGCACTCTTGAACTCTACTAGTCAAAAGACTCCAAAACTTGTAACACACAATTATTTCAGAGAGTTAGTGCTGTTCTTAAAGTTCAGCACGGGCTCTCACACAAGTTTATTGAGGACAGAAAACATCTAGAGCCCCACAAAAAAAAAAAAAAGGCAGAAGCTGAGTTTAACTCCTTGATTTACTTTTTTCGACACTGGCAGCTCTCTCTGAGTACTTTAGTGGAGACTCAGGAAACCTGATACATTCAGCCACCGGCCATTATCTTAGTTTGTCAAACAAAACAGAGCAGGTTAATTCTGGATGACTAACTGCTCTATGTAATTCCAGATAGATCAATGACAGGATGCCTTGTGAGAATCAATGACATGGGGACCAAGAGACAGGCTGTAAGTAAGCACCAGCTTTCCAAATACATGATCTTATTCACCAGCGGTTTCTTAGATAAATAGGGTCTATCAGACAAAACACATTGCAGAAAATTTAAAAGACAACAGAAGAAATAGGGATTCATTCAGAGAATGAACCCACTGGAGTTTTCCCTGCATGGAATTTAACCTTACAAAGTTAATATATTTACAGAGTCACTTCTAAATTATCACACCCTAGATTTTGTAATCTGTTTGCTAACATGAAAGCTCTTTACAGAAACTGATTAGCCTTCACAAAGCTCCAGCTCCTGGCGCATGAATAATTTTAAAAAGGAGACAAAGATTTAAAAAAAAAAAGAAGTCACTTGCCAAAGGCCATGCATGCATTTAACCATTGATCTAGGTTCGAGTAGGAGCACGGCTTAGTTACCTGCTCAAACTTCTAGACCACACTGCTGAAATAAAGGACAAAAGGGGCATAGGAAGCTGAAATCTCCATTTTCTTGTCAATTTGTGACAAAACTGTATTAAAATTGTTAGATCAGAATAACATATTTTTACTTAGAGATTACAAAAATTTTACTTTTTCTTCCATTAGCTAGCAATGCGTTCTGGTAAATACATTTTATGTTCAGGTACAAATCTTAAACAAATTATTCCATTACAAAATGAAAAATATATATTTTTTGACAAGTCTTTTTCCCCATTTAAAATGTTCCTATCCCATAAGGATTCAAGCAACTGTCCCTTAAAGCATGCCAGGGGCATGTGAATGATAATGCAAACAGAAGCAAGGTCTGAGAAGACTCACATACAAAAATTCTCTTGAATCTTCATCAACTTTGAAAAGTATGAGTTTATAACTGCAAACAACATGTATATAACCTTTTGGTATTAACCTGTTATAAGCATCAAAACCAGCTTTCCAATTAAGAGCCATTTTTCACTTTTAGTTAGAAAAACTATTTAGAGGTCAGGTCACTAACAAATCATAAAATCACATTTCTTTTCCTCACTCATACTGAATGGAATCCACATATGCATTCAGGGGTCACATTTAAGATTCAAACGCAAACCTGCAAATGCTATTCCAGGTCCCATCTTGCCCTCCACACAGAGCCCTTCCAGATTTGTATAACAAAGTCATCTTTTGACAAATTGCAGTCTCTTATTACCATTTTCCAAAAATCTTTCACCCACAAGTGACTGAGAAATCAAAACACACAAAGAGGAAGAAAGCTCCATGACATAGTAAGAACTATGCAGATAGTAAGACTACAGTAGCAAGGTAAGATAATAGAGAGATTTGCAGACTAGGCACACTTAATCAATTGAAAACAGTGAACGTTTCATATGTGAAGAAGAACACTTTCCAACTGCCTAAAACCCAGCAACCCTGACTAACTGGTTGTGTGCACAACCCTCACAAGGAGGATTTATGAGTAATCCTTTAGCTCAGAATCATTTTTTAGCATTCTTACATTCATACCACGTTTACACCCAAAGTTTGGGTTAGTGTATGCATTACAGAAGATCTTCCTTTTCTGACTGAGTTGCAGGAAAAGGAGATTGGAGCAGCTAAGCAAGGGCTCTGGATACATTTCCAGTTTGCGCTGTTTCTCTGACTGTGAAACACAAGACGAGAGCAGCAACAATCCACAGCACTCCAACGAATTAACATCGGATGACTTTGCGCTGCGGCTGTGACAAGCCATCATTTGAATCCAAAGCACGCAGAAGGCCTAATTCTGTTCAGGCATAAATTGGAGCAACTCCACTGAAGCAAATCCAATTTACAGCAGCAGCAGCGGAGTTCAGCAAAGGACCTGTGCACCGCGGTTCTGGGTGCTGCTGGGTCCCAGGAAAGGCCCCGTGGAAGTACGGCAATGCCTATAGACACACAGGCTTCCTTTTCTGTAGAAAATCTAGAATGATGTGAAAAGTGGCAGTTCACCAACATCATTATTGCAGGAACGGTACCATCCATGGGTGGAAAAATACTGATCCCAGCTCACTGCCTCACAGCACCAGCTTCTCTCTGCAATGACTGTAAGTTATAGCTGTAGCTAAAAATTCTGACACTCCTCAGAGCTGCTGTTTGAGGACTACTTCTCCAGCATGGCAAAAAAGCTGCATCCCTTCTCATTGAGCTCCTCGATGGTGCTGCGTGGACGGGTGCCCACCTGGCCAGAGGACCCCCGCCGCTGCAGGGCTTGGCCCCGGGCTCGGCCTCGTGTCAAGGCAACGCCTGCTGCTCCGCTCCCCAGCCCTCGCCTTCCTCTGGCGACCAGGTGCCTAGCTAAGGCTGATGGCAGATTTGCTCCGTTTCTTTTTTTCCTGCATTTAGAGACCAGAGGTGTAATCTGGGTGTATCATCTGCTCCCCAAATATATAAGGGAAGCACACTATGAGCAAGAGACCCAACCGCTCGACCACATAAGGCAGAGGTGAGTCTGCAAACGGAGCATGCAACCCCAAACAGCGCTGCCTCTGTCCTGAATTTCTTCGCCATCCCGCTTTTGCTCATTCCCTGTGGACATGAGGAGCTGAAGACGTGCATTAACTCACCAAATGCAACAGGATACATTTACATTTTGGCAAAAACTTGACGGCAGTTGTATTGTCACCTACGTCTGCTGTGACTACAAAAAATAAAATAATTGCATGTATAATTTGCATATGCAAATTATTCCCCAGATTTCATTAATCTGTTCCTAAAAACGCTGCCAAGGAAATGGGAGGTCTGTTTAAGGATAGATACAAGGGGATAAATTAATTGTTATTTAATAGAGCCATTTCTCCCATGTTTACTTAACAGCCCTCCCCTAGCCACTGTGCACCATTACCAGATTAAATAACATCTAATCATGCTGTCAGATTATCGTATTTTTGTATGAATCAACAAATGGGTTTTATTTTAGAAGCAAAAAGATTCATATTACAGGAGATTAATATTCTGAAAAAATCTATATTAATATCTCTCAGCAATAAAGGACATGAATTAATGGATAGATGACCCAGTTACAAAAATGTGATGGTTTTAAAAAAAATTCAATGTGATGTATTTTTAAACCTCGCACTGTTAAGTCTTTGAATATACTTCAACAAAGAAGCCTTCTGTTATGCAAAAATGTTGCACATCCTGGCACAGAAACATGAATTTGATTTTAATTGAAAGAAAATTTGACATCCTCTCACCTAGGAAGCAGGCTTATTTTTATTTCATAACGAAGCCATCATTCAAAGTATTGGTGGCAATATCTTCTGCTGCCTGCCTGAGTTTTAATCCAGCCGTAAGCAAAGACACTGTGGTCATGGCCAAAAAGGTAAACTGCTTTTGACCATCACAACCAATATTCCTTTAGTCTCTGGGCCGTGCCGTTGGGCCATGCCGTTAGGCCATTGGCGCTGTCACCAAAAGGAACAGCTTAAAGGAAATAAAGGGGGTCAGTATTCACCTCCTCCTCCGCAGGGTGCTCGAATCACTTCAGTGACAGTGACTTACAAAGAAAAGTTTGAGGAAAAAGAACATCATTTGCCTCCCTGAGCCTTCACCTAATCTACAGCTTTATACACAGTGACGATATAGTTTTTGTACTGCATACCTAAACAGTTCTATGCTCTCTTTTTAAGAACTGAATTAAGGACAAATTTATTCTCGGAACGCAATAAGGAATATAAAAACAATGCCCAAATTACCTGTTTTCTAATGATGTTTTCTTTTCTCTTATTCCACAAGTTCTGCTTGCTCTTCCAGTTATTCCTCACTTCACCTGCCTCCTGCCTAGGAGAATAGTCATCAATTATTCCATCACCAACTACTCTAACACTATCTAATAAAACCATGTGCAATACTTGTCTTCAGAGCAAGATGTTTCAAACGAGAGGCACTTGGCTCATCACTAAGGTTTGCAATGGTTTAGCAATAATGACTCCATAAATGAAGTTGAGGCCCTGTCAACTTAAATCTCTTAGATTGCCACATCTCATTCCAGAATGGAGAAATCTAGGGGAAGCTTGCAAGAAGTCAGGAAAAGACAAAACTGAGTTTTTGTTTCTTTTTTAATAATTCCGTGTCATTTTTGTCTCATCATATCACCATGGTGAGTCAGCAGCTCAGAGGCTTGTAGATAATAATGTCTTACCACATCTCTCTAGTTATCACTTAGCCAAGCTTTTCTAAAATATTTAAGTAATCGTTCTCTCTCTCTATTAAAACAACAGATGGAACTCCCAACCTTCAATTTTATGTTGGGATTCTGCAGCAATTTATTAACAGCTTGAACTCTGTTCTCTTGGGGTTTTAACCCGACGGTTGAAACCAATTACATTAAAGTCCTTTGTTCATCAAGGGACATATGTAATATGATACTAAATATGAAACTACTCATGCCTGAATAATGTAGTCTTTGTGATACAAATTGATGGAGTATGGAAGCCCAAATTTCAAGCACAAAACTGTTCTTAATTCTGATCTTATAATCACAAAAATTCAGGACCAATCCCATTGCTGTCAGTTGACTTGCTAAGGTAAAACTAGCATAAGTTAGAGCCGCCTTGTGGTTTGTCTTTATCCTATACTACTGTTAAGCCATTTTAAAGTCCTAGCCATGCTGGTCAGAGGCAGGGCTATGACTCCCAGAGACAAGCATACACTTAAATCGGTATACTCCACCTTCATCTCATATCAGTCCCACCATTACAGCCTAGTGGAACCCCTTCCCCACCCC